CAGGAATACAAGTAATTCCCAAATGCACTGGAGCAAAACTCACCACATCACTGTGTGTTGTGTACAGATTATCTGCCAGACTTTCCAGAGCAAGCCACTTCACTGGCAGCTTGGAGGCACAGCCCTGACGGTAGTAGTCTCCACTGTAGATCTTCTTAGAAAGCCCAAAGTCTGCAACACTCACATTCATGTTCTCATCCAACCTAAGGGAAAGTTTTCATGACTGAGTAAAGCATTTACTGGCCACCTCAGGCAAAACACAAAACCCTGTTATGTCCAGGGATCTGAGGTATATAGAACACCAGGTATTACCCAGAAGGATAATGACTTCATCTACTTGATAACCAATGTGAAAGAGTTTAATGGCCTCAAATCAGTTCCTTGAGACTAACGGGGAGATAATTAGGACTAAGGAAGTAAGGAAATGGCTATGCTCAGATGGTCTACTCTGTTACACAAAGTGAACTCAGATACTTTCTGTAGTATCCAGGACTGCCAGAAGGCACCTGCAGTGCTCACTGCAGTCACTAAGGCCCGCACCCTACACAGGCAATCAGACAAACACTGGGTGCTTGTCTAGACTGGCTATTACAGCTGCTCAAACTAGATCTGCCACATCTTGTCTCCAGGCCTAGTTAATGGTCTAAATTGCTCTGTCACCCACTTAAACCTAGACACATTGGTAGACAGTGCAAGTAAAGCCCACAAAGGCTTCATGCTCCCAGGCCTCATAAAGGAATCCCTGCTTCCCCCAGAAGGTGTCCTGAAACAGGCATTCAGCTTCCTCTGGGTATTTTCCAGATATATAGAAAATACCTCTGGGTATTTTCTAGATGTTTAAAAATAGGAAATCAGTACGCGTTTCTTGTAAATGTCAAAGCAGGCTAACCCATCATTTTTCATTGTGAATACCAGGCTCCCGTCTGTACATCTGGGAATGCAAATGCCTTTGGAAATCTGTGTCTCATTGAGGATTTTACTGGTTGTTGTGGTTTTGTTCAGAGGCAGATTTCTGTCTGACAGTTCTTTACTCTGTTCTCAGAGAAGAAACAGAGTGGAAAGGATAAGAAAAGGACTTTTCTTCCTTTCAAAGCAGACAAGGCAGTCTGGGGACAAGAACAGCAATGTGGGATCATGCAGCGCGTTCACCCTGCAATTATTTCTAGAGGCATTCTCCAGAAGCTTTCAGGGAAATTCTACATTTCTTATATTGTGATGATCAAGTCCTCAAAATTGATACAAGAAATACAGACTCCAGGCTACAATGAAAGTTCCTTTCTCCTAACACAGCCAAACTCATTCTCTCCTGTTGGTTACATTACATTGTGGAACAAATAGCCCCTGCTGACACACAGTCATTAGAGTGAGTAATGACAAATATATATTGTACAACTCTATGAAACTGTATATGCAGAGCAATGATGGAGAAGTTCCTTATAAATAGGGTCTACTTGGAAGCTCAGCGGGACTTCAGGTCACTCCCTGCTCCCAGCACTGCCAACACACACCCCTACTCCCATGGCCACGGTTCCCCTATGTCTATGGTCACTTAAATTCAAAGACCAGCATTCTTGGACGGGACCCCTCTCCACTTGAGTCACTCAAAAGACTTCTCATCCCTCTCTCACCCACTCTTTCTTTACATGGATCACTTACATGCAATTCCGAGCTGCGAGGTCCCTGTGTATGAAATTTTTTGAGCTCAAGTACTCCATCCCACTGGCAATATCAATCATGAACTTGAGGAGTGTCTGAACAGGCAAGTTCTGAAAGAAATAACAGCTTAAGCCCTGTTCCTGGAAACCTTCAAGCATGTATGGCAAAACTGCAAGATTTTCTGCTAGCTTACTGAGCAAGGATGGGGGAAATAGGGAGAGGATGGAATGGAGGAGTTGGTCCTCAGCATGCATGGAATGAAACACTTCAACGTCCCATCTCACAGCTTTCTCTAGTATCAAAATCCAGTCACCTGCCAATGCTTTTAACCAACCCTGAATTGATCCAAGTACATTCTCTGAAAATCCATACCCTCCCAGAAGGAATTCTACAGTAAGACACTTACAAAAGGGTTTTCCCCAATCCGTGACATCAGTAGAAAAGCATGAAGGTCTCCGTGCTTCATGAAGGGCAGGATCACCATGGGAATTGGGAGACGGCCCTTGGGACGGCTCCGCAGACTGACTCCTAATCAGGACACACACAGCAAAGGGGTTTTAGCAAACAGATCAGTCCCAAGAGGGATCTTACAGGCTGCTGTGCCTTTTCTCTTACAAATCTGGAGGAAAATGCACAGTTTTGGTTAGGTTCCATGCTCCAAGCTTCTCTGCATGGCTTCATGCCAGGAGGTGTTAAGATACCTCTAAACCTGTTTACTTCAGAGCCAGTATTAAGTGCCTCTCAGCTCTCCTGGCAGGACCAGCTATAAACGTTTCTAGGATCACTCAACACCAGACAGCCCCAAACCTCAGTCTCTGAAGAGCAATCTCCACATTCTGGAAAGTGTCTGTTCCATAATGCCTACCCACAAACAAATATCTTGGTTCCTTAGTTTGGAAAGCCACAATCTCCATTCCCTCTATTTGTCTACCAACCCATGTGTCCACAGTTCACAGCAGTTTAGACATGCCTCAGCCAGCCTGAACAGTACTTGCAAGACCAAAGAAATAGCTTAAATAAGAGATGCTTACTACTGGTGTATGAGGGCAAGTGGTGTGAGCACTTACACACACCCCAACTCCCTCAAGGCCCAGGAAGGAGCAATGTTGATGCACGCAGGGACTCCAAGCAGCACAGGGGTGCCTGCACTAGCACTGCTGTTGCACAGCAGTGAGGGTGAGTGTGTGAGGCTCTGTGGGACTGTGCAGGAGCAGGAGGGGTCCTGTGGCACAAGCAGCAGCGCTGGCTTACCAATTAGTTTAGTGACATGCGGGTGGTCAAACTCCTTCATACATGCAGCCTCTCGCAGGAACTCCTCAATGTCGGTCGAGGTGAAGATATCCGCTGGGGAAAAAGTGACTGTAAGTTTTCTGCCTTTGTGGGTGGCCCCAAGGGACTTTACAGATAATGATTATCAGAGGCTTGTTCTTTGTGGCACAGCTCATCCTCTCAGACCTACAGCTAGATGAGCCCGTTTACAACAACACAGAGCCTGACACGTTCTCCTGGGATGGGCAGCAGTAAGCACATGTCAGGGACATCTGGTAAACTGGTTCTTAGCAGAGTAAAGACCTGCTGATTAGAAGCTCTTCTCTCAGTGACAGCTTCCCTTGGAAGCTATGCAAAGCATGTGTGGGTTAAAGATGTAAGCAATTAATTAGCTAAAAGAACTTAAACTGCAATGTCAGGGAGAAGTCACGCAAAATAAAAGAGAATGTTGAAACTGAGGAGATGACCTGGAGCCCCTGGCTGGCACAGCAGACCCCAGATCATCTCTCGTAAGGATGGCATGAAAGAGCAATGCTTTTATGTCTCTTAGCATGACTGAGTCTTCTGAAGTGCTAGAGCTAAGATTTAAAAACCCACACTACTGGAGAGCTTGGCCTAATTCAGCAGTGACATACATCAGCGTAAAGTTGGAGTGAATTATTTCTCACTGCTATTACTCCAGATTTACAGAAGTGTATCACTATAATAAAGAATTAACTCAGTGGACTACTTCGCCCACTGCTGCTGTTGAAGTCAGCAGAAATCCTCCAGTCCTGCTGCAAGATCAGACTCAGATGAGTAGGGAAGTATTCGCATTATCTGCTTTAGGCAAGTAATTTAAATATGATTAAGAAGACAAAGGTAGATTCCTTTTTTACAGTTAATGGAGAAGGAAGGTGCTTCTGGAGGGTGACAGAGAGTTTCCAAGTTACATGCCTGAAGGTAAACAGTGTGACACAAAAGCTTGCAAACTGATTAGAATTACTGTTGAAACTGGATAAAATGATGCAACTTACTCTAATGTGGTACTAGTATATTTACTACAAACTGGTATTCTGCAGCAGCCAAACTCAGCTCCAAAGATAACAAAGTGTGACTCTGCCTTAAGACAGTCACAGTTCATTTTTGCTTTACAGGCAACAGGAGTGAAATAACATAGGTTAACATATATACACATACATACATACATTCACTTGCTTTGATTTATACCTATCTATTAATTGCTTTTCTTGTTACAGAATTCTGCCTGATGAATGTGTTAACTAACGCATTGTCCACTCAACAAATGACAAATCAGAAGGGAGTTACACTATTTCTTCAACTATGCCTAAGATGAGTTAGCTTGTTGCTGCATTCAGCTCAAACACTTCTGTTTATTCTAGGATATATGCTTGGAGGAATACTGTCTTTCACTGCTGAATTACTGAGGCAAAGCAAACCTCTCTGAGCTGTCTATGCCATGTGATGTAGCACTGTGTTGAATCAAGCAACTGAACAAGATTCTCTATGTACAGAAGAAGCTGTAGCTATGGTTTGGTTTTGGTTGCACTCACCACACGCTAGGTGCTGTACAATCAACTAAGATGGTATAGGTCCTTCTCTGAAAAGCTTCCACTGCAAGGCTGACATGAAAGGGATGGGAGACAACATGGGTAGAGTGGCTGAGTGGGAAGCTCAGAGGGGAATAAAGAGCATTGGGGGCTGTTTCTTGGAGAATAGGACAGATGGCATTTAATCTTTCCAAGTTCTCTTAAGTACTTCAGGTTGCTCTGCTCCCACTTACCTTTCAGCATCTTCACTGCCACTTTCTGGAAAGAGCCATCATCTAGCTTCAGTAGTGCCTCTCGAACTGACCCAAACTCCCCTGTGAAATGACCAGAGCAAGCAGTGAGGGAACAGCTTCTTGTGAAGAAAGTATGATTCACAGCAGGTTCACTCCAAGGGTCACTAGCAAAGTAGCTGAATAACCATAGGAAATGCAGCTACCAGCTTCATTTTTCATTCTGCAGTTCCAACCAGCAGCTTTCAGACTATGTGCGCCTAAAAGAGGTATCACTGCTAGTAAACAGAGGCCACTGTGCTGGCAGTACAGAAGACAGAGGAAAACAAGAGGGAATGAAGGCAATCCCCTATCAGATGGACGGTGCTAGATTTGCTCTTCCTAGTTTTGTAACTGCTTACCCCACCGAAAATCCAGTAGTATGAGGAACTCTAGTACTGAAAAGAAGGAAGCAAAACATGGCACTCAGGACACCTACCCTGAAAGCATTATCTTTCTATTAGCCTTTCACCAGTGTCCTTCATTACTGCATGGCATATGCTTATTTCACAATAAGCACAAGCAGTGGATCTGACCACAAAAGAGGAAAATGGGAAGGAGCAAAGACATTTTGTGCTGCTTCTCTATTATGGAGCTGCTGCTCAGCTGTAGAGTCAGCAGAGCCCAAGGCAATGCAGTTATGCTATATTAGAACCTGTATGCTGAGCATGGGGTTTAATGGGGCTTACAACACAGACCAGATCCTGCCTGAGATCCTGCCTGCTGCATCCTCCCACCAAGGCTGCGCCCATGGGCCTCACTGGAGCCAAGTTACCTGCCATGGGGACAGCCTGGAACCCAGAGGGGTTGAAGCAGGATCTCAGAAACTGCCCCAAAGCTGACACTCACAGATGACACAGCTGTTTAACTTCTCAGCATTGTTAAGCCCTCTGAGACCACTTCTGCAGGAAGGTCATCTTCCTGCTCTGAAAGAAACTCATTTGTTTTAGGAGGGATGGAGCGGAAGAATGCTCTCGGCCAGAAAGGGTCAAAGAAAACTACAATGAAACTACTTATAAAAAAGGAAACCAACCACTTCAGCTTCCTTTTGCTTATAACCCCTGACTTTAGCTCCCATCTTAGTTATTGGCTTTACCGTTACATGCTTTCACTTATTTCTAGAGATTGCCTTCAGACTCAGAAGAGGGATGGATGATTCAACAGTTAGCACACTGGCTTGCCACCTGGGAAATCTAAATTCAAACCCATTTTTCACACAGGGTTTCTGGGCAAATCTTTTAGCTAAAGCTAAATGAGAAGCATCCCACCTTTACTCTGCCCATCCCTCCTGACCTGAAAACCTCAGAGAAATATATGAAGCACCTGTATGGGAGATCCAGATGGACATCCACAGTCAGAAGAGCTCCTAAGGACCTGAACTAATGAGGATAAATGTTCCAAATGTGCCTCTTTAAGAGCCCAAACTAAAATCTACTGTCAAACCACCCCAGACTTTGAGAATATCTGAATCAACATATTTTATGAGGGGCTGGAGTGTTTGAGGTAGATCACCTCTGTCTCTGTGTTGTCTCAGCCCATTTAATACTTGATGCGTGCTTACTTAAGTGGAAGGAATTCTGTAGCACCACTTTGTTAGCAGGACGAGCAGAAGTTTAATTGAATATTCCCTTGTTTAAACCTCTGAAAGAGATTCACACACCAATGAATTGATAGCACTTTGGAAAGCCGAGCACAGACTACAGTTCGTGACTCTGTAGAGCCGTAGTGTAGGAATGGCTTAGCCAATACCCTCTTAGTTATGCTAAACCTTTGAAATGTTTTATCACTGCAGAAGGGAAAGTTCCATTTAAATTGCCATCTACAAGCAAAGGGACAGAAAACAGGCTGCTTATAATTGCTTCTCCCTACTCAGCAGTAAAGGTAACACACGTGAGACTTTCAAGGTGAAGACTTATTCACTTTTGGTTCTTACCCTTGCCCAACATTCTTCCCAAGGTGAACTGCTGTTCCTGGATTAGGACATCTTTGAGTTTCGTCTTCAGCTCATCGCTGATCCCTACACTCTCCACTGGAAAAAAACAAAGGAAGAGTCAAATAATGGATACTTGAATATTTGGTCACAACATTAAGATTCACCAGTTCTAATCTCCTTCTCCAATCTGATTCCCACACTGTAAGCAGGAAAACCTGAAAAAGACAGAGCTCCCTTCATGTCCTCTAGCCTCACCAACAGTACTGAAAATGGGATGGTGTGATAACACCATCCTTAAACACACCAAGAGCAACAGGAATACAGAACTACTGTGGATAATGCTGAGAAGACAAAATCTAATGAGAAAAGACATTGACAGACACTGGTTCATACAGCTTCATTTAAGCTGTTGGAGCTGCACCAGTTTTCAGTGACTGTCCCTCAGACTATTTTAAGTACAAGCCCCACAGTACCTGGCTGAGAGGGTAACATAATGTCCAGCAGTTTATGTTCATTAGATTTAATGGAGAGGCCTCTAAATCCAGGGGAGCAGACTTGAAGGCAGCTGAAGCATCACCCTAACCCTGCCATGCAATGCTGCTACAGAGAGCCATGCCCTTGCTGAACCAGGAGACAGAAATGGATCATCCTAACTCTGGCCATTCCCGGGACTCAATCTCCTGTTTGAGAAGTTATGAATTCCTGGCATTCCAAAACTGATTAATTGGTTCCTGCCTGTAGCACAGCTCAGCAGTGAGTTTAAAGCATGCTGTTATTGTTAAGCCGTATTTATCTCACTGTTGCATAATATTACAGTAGAAGGGAGTCACAGTGGTGTGAAACTGGGGCAGGGGAGTGGTGAATTTATGCCTCAAACTAATATACACAATGACTGTATCTGTAATTAGCAAGTGCTCTGTAATTGGTATGGCAACAGCAATTCTGGCCTTTCACCTCTGCCACCCACACTGTCTAAACCTCCTTGGAAATTGATCACATGTTCTTGGTCCAAAACCATCAGTTTCAGGGAAAACAAAGGGATAGTATAGTACATGCATGAGCACAGCTTCTCAAGCAGAATCACTCACATCATTTTACTTACACGTTGCTTCAATGAGCTCTGGACCCTCCCTGTTGAAAGACCTGGCAGCTCTGAAATGGACTGCTGGATCCCCTCTGCCAACCACACTGCCAAAGGCATGGCTAGAAGGCAGAAAAGACACACAGAGGCATGGTTACTTACAGGGCCATTCATTTCCAAAAGGGCGTCTTGAACAGTACAGATGATTTCTCGTCCCTTGCCATATAAATATTACAGACTGTTTTATTAGTCAAAGAGGAGGAATGGTGGGTTTATGCTGCCTTGTTGATGCACCTAGAGGGGGTGGGAGCCCTCTGAAAGGCAGGAATCACCTATCCTGAGTGTCCAAGCTGGGGCATGTTGCAAGAGACACATAAACAGAGATGCTGCTGTGAGAGGCTTGTGAGACTGAAAAGAATAGGAACCTTGCTTGCAGCAGGGAGCAACCCACAACCAAATGTCAGAGGTGATGAAAAGGAGACTTTCCTGGGGATCCAGAGGGTTCTGGGCAGTCAGGAAGTTATAAGAAGCTGCTAGCCTGAAAACCAGCACGGGGTAAAGGGCCAAGTCCCTAAGAACACAAAATGATTCATCTGTGGGTTTTTTGCCTCTGAATCTCTTAAGCAGCAGTGCTAAGAACTTACAGAAATATGTTTATCTAGTTCATATTTCCGTATCTAGTTTGTATTTCCATATTCTAATAAAGCCTAGCTATTGATGTAACACGGTTTTTCTGCTGTATTTTCAGTGTTCTCTCTAACCAGCACAAGGAGAACCTCCCTTACCCAAACCGAGTTTCCTTTCTTCTTTTCCTAAGGAGAATAAGAGCCAGGGCAACAGCTGTGACCAGAGCTGTGAGAATGCCCAATGCCACAGGAACCCAGGATGTTCCATAAGGAGGTTGTCTCTGGCCACCTAGATGATGGAGAAAACACCAGTCAGGAAACTGAAGACTGTCAATAGTAAACAGACCATACTGGGACATTTCTTCTATTTGCTTTTAAATGGAAAAGCCATGCTGCTGGATCTGGTGTACACAGTGGGTCATTGTACCCTGGAATTTGGCATAAACAGCTACTCAGTCAATCATCAGGAAAACTAGCTGTTTCACACAGCAAAGGCAGAGCAGATGCACCCAGTTATCAGAATCTGTTCTTCGTTTTGAGCCACCAGAAACTAAAAGGCACTTGCTGTTCCACATTGTAGTACTTTACAAGAGCTCATGATCTGGGGCACTTGAAACTGGACTCTCACAACAAAAAGGCTTCTTAATACAAGCATTTTCTGTGCGGGTTTCACCTTGTCCTGTTTGAGGCAGGCAGCAAGACCTTGACCAGGCTACACAGTATGGCCTGAATGCCAACCAGATAACGCTTTGAAAGACAATAGAGAAAGACAATTGCCTCATGTCAATCTGGTTGAAAATATTTACCCTTCCCCTCCCTCTCCTTCCACAAAGAAGGGCACTCTGTGTATGGGACTTGGTATCGGCTGTAACTTCCCAATGTTGCTGGTTGGTTGTAGCTTCTCAAGGTCTCTCTACCAACGAAAAGGCACATTTTAAAAGGTGCCCTGTGAGTCAAGAAGTAAGTTAGCCAGTGTGCAGGTTCCAGTTCTGGTCTAATATTTGCTCCCAGGATATGTATGATCTTGACTACAAATTAGCTACAGAAGAAACAGAGATGCTGCCAATCTGAGTAAGCTGCCAGAAAAGGAAGGTAAGCAAATGGTTATGAATAAAAGAATATTATCTATGCTTGGCAAACAACAGAGAAATCAATTCAATTCCCTGAGAGATTTCTTCTCCAAATACATTTATTAAATATTAAATGTTAATTTGAATTGGTTTATTAAAATCTAGGATATCCTTCCCATCTCCAACTTCTTTAAAAGCAAACAAGAACAGGTAAGACTTTGTTCATCTTCATGCTCCCTTGCTCACCTTCAGCAATTGACTGTGCCTTACTAGAGCTAATAAAGAATCAACTTTGACAACGTATGTAATCCTATCACGTTATATGTCATGAGAGTGTAAGTTAATCTGTCCTTAAAAGAGATGTTAGGTTAATGGGCTGAGATTTGGATGAATCTCTGCATAGATGTACGTGAAAAGGAGTCAGACATCCTTACTGGCAGAGTCTTGGCAAGCAAAAGGCTTCTAAGACTTAATTGCTAAGTAACATTGTAGAGCCTTATCATCCAAGTTTTTAATAAGCAATGTTAGTCTAATTAACAGGTAGAGCTTAAGGAAACAGAATTCTGGACCACTGAGGAAGCAGAACTAGCACTTCTCCACTGGAGACAAATTACCAGAGCTTTAGCACCTATTTTCTAGCATCTTATCAGTGACTCACAGAGCTTTATAGGCTCTGGGTGTCACGATATTCCCTCCTGCTGCACCTTTTGACCCCAGCCTTCAAGGCTGCTTATGAGGAGGGAGAGGGATCAGAAACAGAAGTGGAATAAAATACGATGAAAGGTAACTCCAACCCTCTCCACAATTCCCAAATCAATCACTTGGGCTGTTCCTGCCAAACAATCAGGGTAGAAATAACAACACTGATGCAAAATGGCTTCTGTGATAGTTAACTGTGAGGTTTCCCTCCCCCTGTGGTGAGACAAACCTCTCTCAGCCTATTTTCCAGTCTCTGTCTGCTAGCTGGCCTTGGGAGAGAGCAGATTTAGGTCACCTTCCAGGGGGTCCCTCCAAAAGGAGGATAGACGAAAACAAAACAAGCACAAAACTAAACTATTCTCCCTGTTTATAAACTGTAGGAATCAGGAGCACAGCCCACAATTTATAGCAAATGTATCCGAAATAGAAATGAATGTTGAAATTCACTGCTTCTCCTCTGCCCCACACATCATTGCTTCCCACTAGTGCCACTGAGACAGAGAAGATAGCTGCAGCCCAAGTAAAGATTGAGTTGCCTCTCCTCCCCAAGCCCTGCCTCCTTCCCACCTCCTGCACCCCTAGTTTCCAACAGGCATATGCCCTAAGACTGCACAAGGCAGAGAGAAGACAGTATTATCAGATAAGCTTGAGTCTTTAGGAGCCCGTTGATGATAAGAGAACCCTTTTTATTTCTGTAGCAGGTTTTACATCACAAAGGTGTGCAAAGAACGTAATCCAAGAGTCTTCTCCTGCGTGCAGTCATGAAGATTACCGATAGGAAAAAGCTATTAGGCCATTCTGTTCCTTTCTGCAATGAGAGATGTTTCTACTGAGAATGCTTCTGAAAATATTAAAGTCGTCTTTGTTAATGGCACACAAGATCTCTGCATAAGCTGGGTGGTGCTGACCAGCTTTGCTGTGATGAGAAGTATGATTTAAAGTTTATACAAGCTTAGTCATCCTTACTGCCGCACTGGGAGCCGGTTAGAAACCACTCCTGGCATTTCGCACATAAAACAACCAGTGCCAGTTTGCTATTTTAGGAAAGGAAGCAACTTATATTTTCTACCAGGCCTGAAACAAAACTGCAGTCTTTCTGCAGCTCTGATGTTTAAGGCCTGTCAGTGTTTCCACAGTGAACTTTTATTTCCAGCCTGTTATGCTTGTGAAGAAATATATGTGTACTTTCAGCATTTGGCCAAAACAGCACCACTCCTTACGCTTTCTTTGAAGTGGTTTGTATATAAAAACAAGAAAACATATCGAGCTTTCAGGATTATCCCATTCCAGCTCCCTGTAAAATGCAAACCCGATATATTCCCTCGGGCTTCTAGCCAGTGCTGGCCAGTTTCCAAAGGGATATTCTAATCCTTTCAGGTATTTTTCTCTGTATTTGGGTGCCACAGAAAATAACTGAGCAAAAAACAGGAGAAAAAAAAATGATGGAGCCAATGCCCAGCCTCTTGTAGAGTCAGCTCTGGACCTCTGCACCCTTCATTCTACTTTAAATAATGTGAGGGCTTTGATCCCACAGTGACTGTGTGCTTACACACAGCCATCAGTGCTGACTTCATCACAGGAACCGGGTTGCCAAAGGGCCTGAGTAACATGCACGTTAAAACCAGGATTAGATGCACTACTGCAAATAAGGCTACAGTTCTCTCCTGTTACTCTGTCCCTATTCCCCATGTCCTGCTGGCCTCAGAACCCCACTCTGTTTCCACTACCACCCCTAAGCGTGGAGGGAACAACGTCCATGTGATTCCTCAAAAGACATGTGGAATGGGAAGAAAGCAGCGGCTGGGGGGCCAGCATCAGAGATGAGAGATTGCTGTTCATCCTGCCACTGGTGCTGGGAACAAAACATCAGGAGACTGTGGGATTTATGTGTGTTGGCACCTCACTGATTTATCACCAGTCCGTATTTTTATATGTAATCTCTTCCTCTTAGTTGTTTTACAGTTTCCTTCACAAGCAGCATTCTTCCCTCCCTCCTACCTATCTCCTTACCCTGCCCTTCTCCATAGCCTGACTCCCATTTCCTGTGAAATCCAAGCAGCAGGCAAAACAGCACAGATGAGCCTAACTGCCTTTTATCACTAGGAATGCGCTTCACGGATGCATGTTCTTTGCTCCCAACAAACCCTTCCACCTGGTCCAGATTGCATGGTACAGCTTCTGTACCATTATCTCTCTCTCCTACCATTAGCTCAGCTTTTCCATAGAGAGCTAAACTGGTTTAATATGAACACATTCAGTAAAAACATTACAAAACCCCATGTGGCCGTGGTTTAAACCAGGCTCAACTGAAGGCGGTCAGGAATGGCTTCAAATTAAATCAAAGAAGAGAAACTACATTAGAGTTTTTGTCACATTTACTTTATAAATGTGTGAGGCTTAAGCCTAAATGAAGGATTCCAGACCTTCCCCTGCACCTTTTCTGTTGTGTCTCCCCTTGCCCTGTTCTGCACTAAGCACAGCAAATCCTGTTAAAGAAGACACAGTACAGGCCAGAAGCTGTTTTGTTTGCACCAGCTCTTTAAATATTACTTCATTTCTACTCTGCTCGATGAAGTCTGCTCTTGTATAAAGGCACGTGGCTCAGTCAGCTGTAAGCACTGAAAAGAGAAGAGTCAGAGAGAAACAGCAGCCCCAGCATTTCTGCCTTTCTTCCCCAAAGTAAATGGAAGGCAATGGACACTCACCCATGACCTCTTGGGCTTCAAGCAGAAAGAGGTCACTCCAGGGCCCGCATCCTGCAGTGTTCAGCACACACACCCTGATGATCAGGTCTTTGAGAGGGTTCCATGTTGTGAGATTAGCTTTTGTATCCTGTACGATCATCTCGCCCTGAAAGCAAATGGTAACGAACTGTAAGCTGTCTTAAAAGGAATCTAGTCTGAAATGCCTCCTTTAAAACCAAACCAAACCATTACTGTGTACTTCATTGGTGCTACAACAAGGGCTGGGAGTTGTGACTCCTGGTCCTAATCTCAGTTTTGCCATGGGATGTCATCTTGGGTTCCTCTTCCAAAAAATTGCTATTTTTCCCCAGTTTCCCAGGGTGTCTGGAAGATACAAGGTTTAATGATTGTCTCCTTTGAGGTCCTTCCATGAAAGTTGCTATAGAAATGTGGGGGTTTTTTCAGCTATTAAAAGATACACCTCCTTCTTGTGGTTTAAACACAAAGATGCGCTAACATACAGCAAAGCATCTGATAGTTTTAATCCAAGGGAGGACTCTGTCTGTTTTAACTTGTTGACCAAGTCCCGTATGGTTTCTTCATTTCATGGCCAGTTTTCACTTAGGATGGCAAGGCCAACATGTGGATTTTCTTCATACACATAATTTGCAGTAAACCCCTGAAGATTTGGCTCCCACCACAAACACAGTGTAAATTCAATGGGAACTCAAAACCTTGTCAAAGTCAGTGACGCTGACCTAGTATGAAATGGGCCACGCAGAAAGGAAATAAGTCTCTTTTTCCCTCTAGCAGTCTATTATTATAGGCTTGTTCATCATTAATAAGCACTGGCTAAATGCATATTAAGAAGCGAGAAGCCATAAGAAATGCTGTGAACTTCAAAGGCAGGTAGATACTTGGGAAAGGTCAATGCTGAAGAACAAATGAAAGGCCTTTCACCCTGACAGGATCCTTTCAACTCCCTACATACTGTATATGAAAGAAAATAATCCACATCTTCTTTCTGTGATTTACAGTCCAACTCGTTCACTTGCTAAATACACCTTTGCTGCTAGGATTTGGAAAGCCAAGTCCCAGACACAGGACAGAGAAAGCCCATATCCTGCACTGTCTCAGCTGCCTTTGGGACAGTGCTAGGAAGAGGCAGAGGCAAACCAAATATTCCCTGTGTTATCCTTGTACAAGGAACAGCAGAAAACTGGTCTGTCTGCAGAGGAACATTCAAGTGAAGGAATTCTGAACATGCCAGGTAGGGAGAAATGGGCCTGAATCCTGAGGCCAAATACTGAGGAGTTCTTGCAAATCAGAATAGGTCCATTTACACAAAAGGAATGCCAGCAGTCGAGTTCCCTGGTATGGATAAGGGATGAGGGACCCTAATGCATAGAAAATGTGAACATTCTCCAACTCTGTGCCCAATGGCTCAGCTCTCCTCTCAGTCTGTTACCTGAGTTACATTATCCTGAATCCACTCCAGCCTGTATCCCAGGACATTTTCTTTGAGCACATCTGGAGCCACGCCTTCCCATTCCAGTATCAGACCAGGATCTCTTTGAGTAACATGGATATTTTGGGGGGTGCTGCTTGGAGCTGAAAGCAGAGGAGAGAACACAGTCACTACCCACACTGAAAATGGCTGAAAGGACAGTTTCACCCTCTTTCCTGAGATCAGCTGGAAGAGAGAGTGTGAGGGGAGAGAACTTCCACAAGCCACCAGCACTGTGCTTGCTTCAAGAGGAGAAGATAAGGTTGGTCAGCATCTCATTTCTTTCCAAAACCCCAAGAACCTCAGAGCTAATGTAGTATGTGCCCAGCATGCAGAAGCCCCATGATCATGCATCATTGCTGCTAACCACATTTGACTGCATATTATTGTTTTGTGTTAGGTGTTAGAAGACCCTTAGAGTGGACAAGCAGTATGATAATATAATGTTTCCTGCATTTCTGATTTAGCAAGAAGGAGTAAAATGAATTTTATCAATCATCAGGGACTGTAGTGATAGGACAAAGGGTGATGGGTTTAAATTTAAACAGGGGAAGTTCAGGTTAGATACAAGGAAGAAGTTCTTTACTGTGAGGGTGCTGAGGGACTGGAATGTGTTGCCCAAAGAAGTGGTAAATGCTCCATCCCTGGCAGTGTTCAAGGCAAGGTTGGACAGAGCCTTGGGCAACATGGTCTAGGGTGAGGCATCCCTGCCCATGGCAGGGGGCTGGAACTAGATGATCTTACGGTCCTTTCCAACCCAAACCACTCTGTGTCTATTGTCTCTTTTTCAGATTTAAAGCTACTTTCCTTTTCTTGTCTGCTATTTGCTTACCAAGCTCCAGGGTCTGGAAATAAACCCTGTCGGTGAAAGGGGAGCTGCCCATCTCATTGCTGCACTGCACACGAACACTGTAGTTGGTGGAATGCTTCAGGCCTTGCACTCCATAGGCAAAGGGTGGCACTGGGGTGACTTCAGTGGAGACCTCCTGGCCGTCTGGTGACTCAGCTACCTGTGCCAAGAGTGACACAGAGCAGACTGTTACCATAAGCCATATGACTAACAAGCCCACAGGTGTAAGTGTCCACTTCATGTTTAGTTTAGGAATGTGTAAGAACAGATACGGTACCAGTGATGTTTAAAATGTGGAAAAGGGAGTTCTCAAACTAAGAATCAGGAGCCATGCCTTTATTTAGTTTCAGTGACATCGCTCTCCTAACTCTGGACAACAGTATTTCACCAGTTGAAAATGTGGTTCCATGTTTTAAAACATTTCCTTACCTATGTTACAAATTCTACAGTTGGTCTCCTCCTTTAAAGAAGACTAAATGTGCTCATTACTTTGAGTGCTATGGTTGGCTTCGGAGACTTCTCTAAATCTGGGCAATGCAAATCGGTAATCAACCTCCCTGTTGCCAAGTGTCACCTTTACCTCAACTCCTTTTTCAGAAGCTTGTATATTTCCAGTTTCATAGTGGATTAAAGACAGGGCAGTCACTGGTGGCTTAGTTGAACCAAACTGTTTCAAATTAAACTGGAAAGAAACTTCTGCAACCCTTCTCTCTTCCCCCCTGCCCCAATCTGAACTTGTAAGCAACATGAATGTTAATTTAAATCTGCTATCACTGTGTGCTTTCAATGCACAGACAGGTTCCTGCTTTTGTACTGACAACAGCAGAAATCACTGCATAGCTGCCAGGCTCAGCCTATCGTTCTTCTCAAGTGCATATGAAATACCAAAGCCGTGATTAAAAGCAAGGTGTACTGTGAAACACTCACGTGGACTTCATATGCTCTATACAGCAGCCTTTCTCCCTGCCCTTCTGCTCACTCTCGCACACACTTTTGGCCCACTGATTTATTTGGCTAGAAAAAGGAAGGATCTCAAGCTTCCTTAACAGAAAAGCATATTGTTGTCATTATCAGTGTCATCCAAAGCAGGGAAAAAACAAGCAGACTTTTGTGTAAAACCCTGTCAGCTTGATGATGTGTGTTTCCGTTCAACAGTCTGAAGAGTTGGTGCTCTTACATCTGTCCCCCTCATGCCCTGGAACATGGCTTGTGTTTAACAGTCAGTAAACATGGTGATTCCCTCCGCTGTCCCCAGAAGCAATCTGCCTGTCTGAACATGGTGTTCTTGGGGCACGCTCTGCAATTCCTGAGTGCCAGAAAACCACAGCCAAGTTTCAATAACCCTTCTCTTTCCAGGAGGCTGGGAGCAAAAGTGCCATCGTGGGGATCCAGGAGCATGATCATTTTCACATGGAAAAGTGGGTCAATGTCTCTCTCAAATCCCCTCATTGTGGGATACAGAGGAAGCACGGAGGGTTACTGCCGAGTTACCCTGCTCCCACATCCAGGCGCAGGAACTTCATCCTCCCCAAAGAGAACAGAAAAGGCTTAAAAAAGGGGTGAGAGACTGCTGAGTGGACAGAAACGGAGCTGCTCTGACCCAACCTCTTTTCCACATGTCCCATCCCCCCATCCCTGCCCCTGCCAAAACTGAGAGGGGGAACTCAAACCCCAGGGTGATTAGCATTGCTGCATGCAAGCCAGAGAGAATAGGCTGTTCCAACTGGAGATAACCCACATTGTAAAAGGGAGGAAGAACACCATTTGCAACTGTGAACAAGAACAGAAGCAGCAACAAAATCCAGAGACCGGGGCCAGCTATGCTCAGGCATTATTTCTGCCAGTGAATTGAGACAAGATGATGGTTTCTTTTACTTATGAAAAGGAATAAACATCAGAGCATGGAATCTCTGGTTTCTTTGCCAAATAAAAAGAGGATTGCGAGTAAATTACCTAGGCTGCTTCCAGCATACCTTGTGTTTATAATCCTCTGTGTAGCTGGCAACACCCCATAGAAATTCCACTCCAGCTCATGTTGCTGCTGTAATCGGGTAGGGAAAACACTGGGGCCCGATACTGACACCTGGCAGGTAAATTCATGGGGAATGTGCCCGGCTGGGCTTACACAGCCTGCTTCAGGAATCACCACCTCTTTCAGACACTCAGTTACCAGCTGTTTTGAGTGTACAACACTAGAAACTAACTCTGCCTGAAGTTGGACAGGTACCATTTGCCCCAGGAACCTAAAAAAGCAGTCCAATTTTCCACCGATGTTGATTTCTCAGCACCTGGTAGTGCTAAAGGATGGCCCTTGATTTTCTGGGCAGAACTGGTCTTTGACAAGGGAAAACCAATCAAGATTTAGAGGTAGGGCTTAAAATTACACTGAAACATGCAAATAGGCCTGACCTTGTACGAAAAAGCCCCATCAGTCTTGCTGCCGTGTAATACCCTGCATGGAGTAGCTGCCATGGAGCAAATAAGGTGATAACTGATGTGCTGGGAGGGGGAGAATGGGGCCAGCCTCAGATTCTCAACTTCATGCTCAAAACTTCATGCCCTACTTTTTGTCACCTATATATGCCCTGAGTTGCATCCTGTTAAGTTTCCATGTTTTAAGGCTGTGGAATAAGAAATCAAACACTACCACAAAGCAGTTAGGAGAGCAAAAGATGGCCCAAGCAATGTCGTGGCTCATGGGAGTCCCATTCTTCATGCAGGGCAGGGGACAATCCAGAGGGGCCGTACCTGAAGAGTGCAAGAATGGAGGGGTGCACGGCCATCAAATCCTGGCACCCAGACCACACTGGCATTGCTGCTGGTGACTTGGCTTACAGTTACATTGAGAGGCTGGAGAGGCATGGCTAGGAAGGAAACAAAGAGACCTTTCAGTGTACACAGAACTGAGCAGGTATTCACATGGAAATGGCAGAGGCTTGAGGCTGGGAATTATGCAATGAAATCACTAACTGAAATGGAACAATATCACATCGTTGGAGGGTGCCCCCGGCTGTTGTGAATGAAACTATTATTTTAACATCGAACAAGCTATTGGCATCCATTCTTTGATCGTGTGTATCTTGCTTGTTACATACAGGCAGGGGTTGACCTCTTTGATGGCACTGCCAGTGTGTGCTGTTTACACCTTTACTACTCAGCCCTCTTCCCTGCCCCCTCCATTGCAATGAGTGACCCAGCCCTGTGCACACAATTGCCTGTGGACCTACATTGTGAACCAAATCAGGGCTTGAAAATCCCTCCCCTGGTTCTCACTCCAAAACCATTACAAACTCTTCCTGAAACACTCTGGGACGGAGCCTGCTCTGAAAACTGGGACTCCTTCTGGCGTCAGAAAGCACTCTTTTATAGAGGGGAGATTCGAAGCAAAGGGGGTGCCTGTTACACGGCTGATACCACACTACAAATTAAGGTCAGAGCCAGGAACAAAACCAGGATTCCCAAACTGGCCGTTTAGTGGGTTGTTTGTGCTTTCCACCACCACAGAGCAGCACCAGAGCACTGTCCCCCTGCTCTCGCTCTGACTTGACACCTTCATCACTGCAGCGGCATCCAGCACATTGTCACATTAACCTGAGCTCTTTGGCGTCCTTTTAGGATCCTCAATGTTTCCCTTTGCCTTCTCTTTTCCTCCCACTGTAATTCCACATAGAATCATAGAATGGTTTGGGCATAGTTACTTCCTATTCTTCCCGATATAACCCTCACTATCTCTTCTTCACTCCTAAGTCTCTGTTCTCATTTAGGCACCTCACTCCTGAAAAATGACCAGCTTCACGAGCACCAGCCTCTCCCCTGACCTTGTGCTCATTTTAAACTATCCTTTGCTGCTGCTGCTGCTGCAATACTTTTCCTGCAGCACCTCTACGAACTGTGCCCTCAAGAGCCCTCTTTCAAAAACCCAGTGGTCCTCAGGACAAGCTCTGTGACTGACCACATTTTCCACCTCTCCTGAGCAGTATCCAGTGGAAAGCAGCAGTGGAAAAGTAATTGCAAACCACGATTCCTCCAGCTGCAACTTCTACTCTGCCAGAGAGCACCTTTGTCTCTCACTGCACTGAGGACAACCACGATACTGCTTTCAGCCTCTCCACAGGGCCACCTTGCAGAAGATATGCATAGACCTAAGTCCCCCTCCTAAGTCTCTGCAGAGGACCTAGAAGAGAATATGGGGCAGGGAATAGATGGTGCCACAGATTAACCCTATAAAGCCTTTGTTGTCTTGTTAATAAGTTACGAGGACCCAAGGCAGGGGGCTGCCACCTAGATAAGAACAGTGTCTGTGGGTGGGAGGTGGGGCAGCAGAGCAAGACTCTGGGATGGAAGATGGGCAAATAAATCCTTTGCCTTTCAGTAAAAGGTCTTTGTGAGTTAACTTAAGAGTTTTCTGTGTCTTGGTTTCTTTCCCTTTTGATGTTGGGTAGTCAGGGCTGTAAGTTTTTTGGGGGGGAAAAGCTTCCTTTCACTGCTTACTTGGATATCATCGAAACACTGCCCTTAATTCAAGTCTTTTGTACACACACTTGTAACTTTTGGGCTTAAGAGCATGTAATTTTTCAACACTGAATGGCAGGCCAAAGGGGCATACAGGCTATACCATCAGTGAGAACAGATAATGAACTGCCAACACACCCCCTCTGTAATGGAGACAGCCACTGAAGAGGGCTGGCTTGCTAGAACCTTCCCCTAAAGCCACATCTCTCCCTCTACAAATTTGATTTCGCCATCAACCATTGGGAAAAAACCTGTTGGTGGCTGTTTCCTTTTGTGCTCTGAAACACAAGATACGACCCTCAAAGCCTTAGCCACGCACATGAAGCAGGCAGAGCAAAGGCAGCCTGAAAACAGGACCTTGAGTGTAACATAATGAGAGTTAACTTCCTCTGTGCTTGTAGAGTGGCTGGAACAATGGGGCTTTGTACACAGCTAGGGACTGTGGGCTACAATAACAGTAATTTTCTGCTTGGAGTATACCCAGCACATTGTGGGCACTACGGAGAATAGATAATGAACAACAACAGTAGCAAATAGGAAGAAACATTGACAGTTTGTAAATGTCCTAGCAAAAATATTTGCCTCTGGAAACACAGAAGAAACAAATGGTTTAATAAATTGTAGAAAGACTTAAGAGTCCTCATCAACAGATGGCTCTGTGTAAGAGAGGTTCGTGCATGTATGGCCAGCTACTCTTGGGAGTGATTTCATTGAAGCCTACATGTTCATAGAAACAAAGCCTAAACAAACATTATCTGGGCCTGTTCCTATTTCTGCTGATGTCCTTGTTGGGAGCTTGGCTTTAATTTTAACAGGGGCTGTAACAGATCTTCAAAACTTCTGGTCTTTCAAAGAGCCTCCTCACTTCCTCACATGTATAACTCCTCTTTCAGACATAGCTTTGAGGTACGACAGGGAGAACTACTACAGCTACAGCACTGGACTTGATATTTAAGACCCATTTGTTTTCTCCAGGACATGCCACATACTGGGGCAACATTTGCTGACTCACTTGAGCTTGCTCTTCCTTAGCCCAAAAGCATGTGTGTGAACACACAAGTGTGTGATGGTGAAATGTCCCTCCCAAATAGGTTGTGTGGATTCACTAGCTGATGATTGGCCCTCATGGAACACTTCTGGCTAAACATAATTGCTGCAAATGCAAGAATTCGAGGCCTTTACCCCATCATTGTATTCATAGATTAAAACAAATGAAAATCATCTGTGTTAACCTGAAAAAAAAAGCAGCTTGTTTATGCTAAGTGTTATTTCAAATTATAGCTTGATGAGATTTTTTTAAAGCATAATAGCTTTGTGAACTACATTCTATCCCAGGATAAAAATATCCATAGAAGATGTATTCCACAATAACTAATTCCCCTGCATAGACGAGCCTTTAAGGCAACAACTCCAAACATTTTTAAATTAAGTTATAAATCTTACTAGTGCAGCAGACTGCATTCTTGGCACAGCAGTAACCACAATGTCCTGAAGAAAAATACACTGTACGAACACCAGATCTGCAGCTGGATTTGAAGGTATCCTTTAATGAATATTAGCTAATACAACTGCGAGTTCTGATACAGACATAAACGCTTGCTCTTACTCACACTGAGCAATAAGCTACTACTCGGAGCAAATGATTTTTGTGACATGCCTTTCCTGGAACTGATAATCATGTCATTTAATGTGCATTAAGGTATGACTAAAAATTCAAATGCAGAAGCATCTCAATGTGAAGAGGAGGGGAAGAGCTGATTGCTCTGATCATCCCTGTTTCAGTCACACGAAGGAACAGAGGAATCATGACATCAACTTATTGTCACCTGGTCATGCAAAGGCTAGGAATTATTTATTTTGAATGAGTTTTTAAAGAGCAAGGAATTAAAAAAGTCAAATCAATAAAACCTGTGTGGATAAGCAGACTTTTCCAGCCACCAGTGATCACCTTCCTTGTCTTTTTTCAGCATCAAATGTGATGTCAATTGAAGCAAGCAGGAGCAGCAGCCTCTTTAGCTCTAACAAGACCCATCATCTCCAGGAAGGAAAGATTTCCCAGCTACAGATTTATATCTAGCTTAATCTCTCACAAACAATTTAACTGCTCTGACTCGCTCCTTTTCAAGGAAGAACTGTTACTTGACATCATATTTCCACTCCTGAATTGGATTTTCAACAGCCTGGGACATGGCCCTGCACAGCAAGCGGGAACTGCTGTTAGAGTATAAAGCACTCTTTTGACTGCTGAGAGCTCCAACTGGTGCTGTTGCTGGCAGCTTTGAGACATCCCTTTGCATTAGGAGCCCTGCTTTCCCTTCCCAGAGAGCAAACCCGAGTCCCTTGCCCATTCTCTTGTACTTTCTCACCTTTAATTTGAACAGTGGCTGTCCGAGATGAAGACAATCCCTTAATGTTGTGAGCTTCGCAGGAGAAAACTGTGCTTTGATTAATACCTGGAGATGAGCCAAGAAAAGGAAACACAAACAGCTATATAATCCAGCTTCAACCTTCAGCAGAATTTCAATTATGTGTGACATCCAGCTCAAGCTGCACGAGCAATTGGCGGGCTGAGCTGGGTGCCAGTCAAAGGCACGTGGAATTCAATGTAATTAATGTCTAAACACATTTTTAATGGAGTGAGCGTGGAATGTAGAAAAGCTTCCCTGGGAGGGTCAGAAAGTGCTGAAAAAGAAGGGTGAGTCTGGCAGAACAGCAGCTCAGTTGGTAGATGTCCACTTCCCACATCCTAGTGAGCTTCTTTGGAGCAAGGATCGTGCTGAACAAGAACCAATGCTCTGGACCTCAGCTGGCCACCTGAGTAACAACCATCCTCTAACTGAGCTATAAAGCAAACCTCCAGCTAGATGCTGCAGATTTCAAGCTAATGCCCACCTGTCCCTCACCTTGCATCAGACTTCTGAAGACATGCAAAGGAAGTGGAAGTAAAATGCTCCTGCATGGGCACTGAGGCACTTTCCAGGGGTGATACTATACAGGTGAGGATTACACTCCCTCTCTTCTGTTAGCATCCATCCATCATACAGGGCCTGAACATAACTTCATACTGATGTCTGGCTGATCCAAGATTCAGATAGGTATTGATAATCAGAATTGAGACAGATCTACAAAGCTGCCTGGAGAAGTGTGTCCAGCATATTTTCACTTGACTTGGCCCTCAGTTGCCTTATAGGGCTATCTGAGAAATGTTCAGTACACTAAGAACGTACAGTTTAGGAAGGAAAAAGATTTCAGAGCTGCATGGAGCAGCTTGCAGTGTGTCTGTCTTTGCCCATTGATTCAACTCCCAAGCCTGAGATTAAACAGCTTTGCAAAGAAGGTGTAGTGGAAGTGAGGAGGGACTGCTATGAAATGAAAGAGCAAAGTATTCTAGCTTCTTCCACTCACTTCAGTGAACCAGAGGAAAATGCTACCAGCAGGCAGAAGGCCAGGCAGCAGAGCAGAGCAGCAACTGGCATGGTAGGCATGTACCAAAGACAGAACCAAGCACAGCCCTGCCCTGAGGAAAACACAAAATAGACCACAAACCAAGATCTCCTTGCTCTCTAGTACCATTGCCAGCTCTGCTTTCCAAATACAACAATCCTTTAAACCAAACCAACTGCTTGCTGAACCTTCTAAATGTTTGCTTTCTAGCCAGTACTTGATTATTTTCTTCAGAACCTGATACTTCCTTTAGCTAGCAATCCTTGTTTTCTTACCATCTTTTTTGACATGCTTCGGCAATCTGACCATGCAGCTTGTGTTCTGCTACATGTTTTTGCAAAGACATTGCAAAGATGAGATCTGCCCAAGGAATATCTCAAAGAACATGGAAAGGGGCAAAGAAAGGCACTGATGGTGAATATATATATAATAGCAATTTATTTTGAGAATCACTAGGAGCAGATGCCCTTCTTCAGGCCTCCATGCCACTGCCCCACAATGACAGTAGTCTTGTGAGGCACCATTGGATGAGTTCAGTGGAAGAAGGGAGACTTACTGTTTTATCGTCTTTCCCCTCTAGACTATCAATCTTTCCAGTTCCCATTTCAACAAGCAGCTTGTATCATAAGGGAGCACTTTTCATTTCCAACTTGTAATAGCATCGAGTGGCTATGTAAGAGAGGGAGCAGATTATAAACCCACTGCAAATCACAAAATCAGGTTTTGATTTGCATATAAATTAAGTTCCAAGGGAAAGCTGAATAGGACTGGATAGCTCAAAGGACGGCAAAACATGTAGAGAAAGAAATTCCCTCTGGGTGTAACTGTATTAACACTGATGAAGAGGCCCCAGAGATGACTTTTAGTCATAAAACCTTCTTTTCTGAATAGTTAACTCAACTTTGGCTCAGGGCTGCTGAGAATAATAAAACACAGCAAAGCTAAGAAGTAACACAAAGCTGTTCAACAACTAACTAAAGTTACCTGTAGGAGGCAACTACAAGAATAGCTGCAGTCAGGTCCTGGTAGAGATACACTGCACTTCCCTGAAAGTGGGCTGAAGAGAGGCATGGATACATACTGGCTCCCAAGTTCTTCAGCTGGCACTGCTGGGGGGGGCAGGCTTACCACCATGCACCTAGTGCCTGCTGTGTGGCCAATCTTGGCCTCTGAGGACATCAACCAGCCCACTTCAGCACCAACACAACTACTCTAGAAGGGTCAGACAACTACATGGGGCAGCCAGGTTTTAATGATGAGAGCTTCCAGCAAGCATGCAAGAACAGAGAGGGGGAGAAGAGGAAAGCAATGCACGTGACGTGGCTGTGTGCAGAAGCATGATGTTACATGTGAATGACTGGAGATTTTCAAGCTACATGTCACCAACAGAGTCACTTAATATAACCATGAACACCCTCCATGAGGTGGAACAAAGGAGGCACCCAATGAATGCATGTGCCCAGTAGCACCCTTACCACATTACCAGTCCCACCCAAGTTCTGTAAGAGGCTGTGTTCCTCAAGCCAGCAGAAAATACACAAAGCAACGACCACCTCTTGAGATGACCTGGCTTTGTATGTGATGATCATGATCTCTCAACCCTCAATGTACAGTCAAAGACCATTCTCACACTACGTGGATACCCAGTATCACTAGACATGATTAGAAGAGAGCTCTCTGCTTCTTCTGATGCCCAAAGTGATCCCCTGGATCGGTAGCAGCCTTACCTGACACATTTAAGATGGAGGGGGAGATGTCTGGAAGCCCCACTCTAGAGTCTCCCATCCACCAGACAATTGTCACTGGTTCAGGGGGACCAACAGCAGCACAGGCCATATGAAATGGGGCATTAGGGGACACGGACACATCCTCGGGTTCCACAGTAAAGTAGGGCACACCTAGAAAAGCAACAGACAAATCATAATAACTAGAAAGATTCCTGTCCCCTGTTTATTTCCACTGATACCAGTGCCCAATACTGGACACCCATCAGCCCTGCCCCTGTGCCTAATCCGACTCCCTCCTGTGAAGGGTTTTCCCCTTCACAAGAACCAGGGGTCAGATAGGCTGGAGCACCTCAGGGCAGGAACATCTACATAGTCCCACGAGAAGAAGTCAGAGACAAGAGTGCTTGCTTCCCAAAATGCCTTTGAAAAACCGTTTCCGCTGAGTCTCCCTCAAGAGTCCCCGATGAAGTAGTTTTTAATGGCAATATTTGCTCAAGTTTTCAGTTGAAGCGATTGCAGTTTAAAGAGGCAACAGTCAATAACTTCAGCAGTGGCAAACGCCACTTTAAAAGACACCTAATCCAGCTGCAAGATCCTTCTTGACGTGCATTAAAAACTGAAGCTTGTAACTGTGTTGAACTAGTGGCTGTAACAAACCAATGAACGAGGAAAGAACCTGCCCTGATGCTAGACTGGGATCATTTACAATGCTCTCTCCACAGCTTAATTGACTGGAGCCACCTTCGAGTACTCTCCGACACCACAAGAACGAGGCTGCCTTGGAGTTGGGGGTAATTTGTTTCCGAGCTGAAGGCTATCCATGCACACAGCTCTCTTGATAACTACCTGTTCCCAACTGTGGAAAGATTCCTGCCTGGTACAGCCAGCCTTCTATCAGGCCCTCAGGGAACAAAACACAGCTGCAGAGCTGACTGCCTCAGGTCATCTCTAAGTGGCAATAGCTGAGCGTAACTCAACACATCAAGACACGTGGTTCCTCTCACAGGTAATGCCAAAATTCTTGTGGTTTCAGTGCTCCAAACCAGTAATACGAAATTGACCAGCCATCAGCACCAGTGCTGACCCTACAGGACAGCCAGCGTGTGCTTCTGGTGGCTGGTAGAACAGCTGAAGACCCTGAGAAACACTGAGTTTGCTTTTATACCCAACACTTTATTCAGGCTCCAGCTGAAGTGGTGTCCTCAGTCTTTCCCTGACCGTCCCATCGCTGCTTGTGCCTTTCAGGTGGCAGTTTCTTTGTGCCTTCCTCATCTCCTTTCCTCTCCTTTTGGAGTGGCAAGTAAATGAACAAAATAAAACAGGTCTAAAAATAGGTCACTTTGGGAATGCTGGTGCCTATCTGTAGGTAAATCCACCATTGTGATTTACTGCTCGTTTATGTTTACACGTTTTACTTCACTTTCTTTTATTGCAGTCATACATAAACAATAAAAGTGAATAAACTTCCCAGGTACCAGCTGCGACATCTCCACCTGCTTTGCCTTTCTTCTCAAGGAAGACTAGAACAGAAAATACCATCGTTTCTTCTTCTTGTGAGCAGGACCCCTGCCTCCTGTCCCTTTACCATGGCACCCAAGGTAACCTTTTGGGAGGATCCTGCCCAGCTGGGCAGGTTTTCTCACTCTGGGAGCAGGTAACCAGATCAGACAAGACCACAATTAAGAACTCTCCTAGTTTAGGGAGTGCAGCTGACTCATCCAGCCCAGGAACTTGCACTGTGCCCCATATGTATGTTACCTGGATACCTCCCTGTCCACGTCTCATTCAGTCCTCCAGTTCCTGGTACAAGAGCTGAGTGCCTTCACCGCCCTTCAGATGCCACATAGGGGCATGGACAGGCAACAGGACATCAATGGCAAAGTGAGGAGATGAGCTTGTCTGTTCTCTGTTCCAAGCCAGCATCCAACCTACAGGGCTGGTTTTGTTCCTACAGCTCAGTTTATAGATGGTGTTAACTTGAGAGGGATGTGTCCATACAAGTGTGACTGCAGCCACAACAGGGGCCAGCAGCCTAGGAACAGAGCACAGGCAGCAGTGTAATTTCAGAGGGACAGTTCTGTAAGAAACACAATCCGTGGTTTTAAGATGTTCACACTCTGCAGTGTGCCTCTTCAATTACCTCTCTGGGCATCAAATGCCAACATGTTCTTGGAAGGCCAGGGTCTCGTTTCTAAACCAGAAAACAGTTTCAAACTAATTTTGGGTTTATTTTGTAAATTCGGAGGAGTGTTTCATAAGATCAAACATTTTAGCTGTATTACAAAGCCAGTTCAAACAGCACTGCAACAAATTCTGCCTAATACAGACTACCTAAGTGGATCCCAAGGCTGATATCAGACAGCACCGAAACCCATCTGAGCTCACTTTAAATTAGATCACTGATAGCTCACACTTGTTTGTGGCACACAAACAGGGTGTCAGCACCTACCAAAGGCTGCAAACAACCGGAGTAATGATCCTCTCTCAGTCAAAGATGTCAACAGTTGTTATCAATACAGCAACCACCTCTAGACAAAGCTGGTACGCCCAGAGAAGAAACACACACAGATAACAATGAAGGGACTGATAGGCTTTTGCATTCCCTGTGCTTTCTTAGGCTAACAGCTGACATATTTTTAAAAACCCGACCCTTATCACTACTTGTTATTTATTAATTTTCCCCAGTAACTCCCATTTCAAATGATTACATGCTCAGTTCAAGTTTAACCAGCTTCTGCTGTACTTGCTCTTCTCATAAGGCCATTAGTTGCATTTCTTTAGCTTCCGCTGTAAGCTTTGGCCTTCGTTCTCAACACTCCCCCTTACACAGCTACAGCTGGGTTTGTGACTTTGGCACGTTCTGCCTGTGCTATCCAGGGCTCCTCTGGTGTTTCAGATGGCTCAGCACACTGAGCTCCCCATCACTCCTACTGCACTCACCACGCAAATGCAACCACCTTTGGAGCAGGCTGGTAACTGGAATAGAAATGGAAACACTACACAATAGAGAGTGTTTTAAGCTGTAAACAGTGCTCTCCAGTTGAAACCGCACCAGGTAAGAGTCCCTCTTCCTGTGACGGCTGCTATGGATGTTTTCAGGGCTCTTGAGTGAGTCCTTTGCTGTACAAACCCCAGACCACAGCACCTCCCACAGCACCCTCCCTGCTCCCCCTCTTTAAGACTGTTGAGTCAGCTCTGGACCAGAATGTTACCAATTACATCCGAAAAGCCACTTCTTGCTGCAAGTGCACTATTAACTTCCTCATCAAATGTGAAGCCATCCTGTAACACTAACACAATCACGGCTCAAGGGAAATGAAACTAGAGTCTGTAAGAAGCCACCGATCCATGCTGCTTTGGGTGACTTTTGGGCAACCATGTGGAAGTTATTCTTTATCGGACAAGACTGGATGAAAGAGTGCCACGTGGAACAGTCACAGCGATGAAGCGCTGATGTAGAGTACTTCTGAAACTCAGAACTGGGCTAAAACAGTTCCTTGCCCTCGAAGACCTGCTTGCCTGATACACAGAACCAGGCAGTGACTCTGCTTTGAGAAATGGGTTGAACCACCTGGTCCCTATCGATCCCTTTGAACCCAAACTATCCCATCATTCTATGAATTATTTGGAGATGAAGACAACAATGGATTGAGGGGCTGGAAAGAAACGTGTGTGCATGAAAGGATCTTGTTTCCTAACGTGCCAAAATAAAACCAGAATAAGAACTGACAGCTCCTCTCCTTGAAGCTGCTCTCCTATTATTACTCCTGCTCTGTAGCGATCTCGCTGCAGTTAGCAGCAAAGGTTCAGAGCCAAGAAGCCTGTCACAAGCAATCTGCTCTCACCACTTCCACCTAGAGCATATTGGTGGGTCAGCCCTGAAAGGAAACCAGCACTACTACTCCTCCTTACCTTCCACTATGAGCCACACTTGCTGTGATTCTTCCTTCTTCCCCCCGTTCTCAACCTGGCACCAGTACTTCCCAGAATCTGTCCGCTCGACGGATTTCAAGCTGAAAAAAGTCAAAAGCCATATCGATATTTTACGTGGATAAAGCATGATTTTGCCCCAAAGGACCCTTCAGTGTTCGGCAAACCTACTGAAACACAGCCAGCTCTGGAGAGGAGGGCAACAGGCAGCCAGCACAAAGCGCACAGCAAGTGGGTGGAAGGAATCCTCAGCAGAGCAGCCAGCCTTCCTCTGAACCGTCCTTGCAGAAACCCCATCATTTGTGTCCTCTGAGAATAGGACGGGGCTGGTCATCTGGGTCCTGGATCACAACTCTAGCTAGCCTCCAAGAGCGACAGCCTGACCTGCAACGTCTGAGCTAGCAGGAAACTCCAAATCACAAACCTCCAACAAGCCCTTCGCTTGCCTCAGGAGGTGACAGGACTCGTGACAGCCTCATACAGGAACAGATGGGTCACAAAAGGGCCCCCCTCGCCTCAGCTGCACTCAGTGTTTTTCTTACCCCAAGAAAGCCTCACACTGCAAAACTCCTTGGGCCTTTTGATTCGTGATTTCAAGGGGTTATCCTGGCCTACTCCAGCACAGGACCTCACCCTGTGAACTCTTCTGTGCCCTCCCTTGCTCAGCAACACCTCTCCTGAGAAGATGCATCCAAGCAGGGGAAGGCAGCCGTGGGGACTTGCATTCAAGTCGTAGACGTCCAGTTCAGGGGAGGAATTCTGCGCCTTGCTCCACCACTGGGAATGTGCAGTATCCTCACTGCTGTTAGCAACACTAGGCTAGTGCGGTGAGTAAGGGCAGAATTTGGTCCCAAAGCAAAAAGGTCTCAGCTACCCAAGGCACCAGTCAATGTACAGAAGTGGACTGTCCCCATGGGATGTGCAGCCATGCAGGGATCCTCAGCAGATCTGATGCCCATCTTCCTAACGCTAACAGTTTGCCTTGGGGAAGGGGAAGAACATCTCAGGAAGGAAGACAGAAAAGGGAGAGTGTTTGCCAAAATGCACAAAATGGACCCCCTACAGCCTGATTTTCAGAGCTGTACCTTCAAATGGCATCAGCTGTCCTGCCCATCCAGCCCCATGTTCTGAAACAGCGATTGCAGCAAAGTCTCACACAGAGGGTGGTAGAAATGATCACTTTAGGAGAAGAAAGGAAAAAGGAGAAGGAGATACAGACACATCTGGATTTAGCACCCTAACTTAGCTAAGAAAGTTCTCAGTGGAGGAAAACAAGAGGTGAGAAAGGAGATCAGACTTAGAGATTGTGGGGGGCGAAGAGAGATAACTAGTAGAACAGGGGGAAGTAAATGGCATAATTTCAAGATAAACTCAATATAGCAACAGTTTTCTTGAGCACAGATTTTTTCCCTATCAGAATGTTTCTTGCAGAGAAGCTTTAGCCCAGAGACTTTTAGTTGCTGGAATTGGAGACTCTGTGCAATGTCAATCCAAGAAACCGAAGAGGACATGAAGCTGGAGCTCAGGGAAGAGTGAATCTCAGTCACAGTTGTGAGCCCTCACGGTGATGGCATGTTTGCTTGTACAAGCTCTCTTTATGCATAGAAAAAGCCAGAGCAGAACCTTGGGTCTTGTTTCACTCAGTACTTCCATAACTAGCTGACATCCCTCTTCTGCTGAAATAAAGGCCCAGAAAGCTGCTCTGCAGAAGAGATTTGTGCCTCTGAGCAGGGCAGGACTGATACCATGTGGTGTGAATGTATTAGGAAAGTCTCTGCTAAATGACTGAGGGATGGTTCAGGTAACAAACGCTTCTCCCCAAAGAAAGGAAGGGGATGTAATCCTGGGAGTCTCATTTCAATTAACAATCCTTACCCTTTAGGCAGGCTGAGAGCTCAAGAGAGAGAGTAAGAGAACAGAATGAGTGTGAAAGAGAAAACCTATTTATGAAAGTCAGACCTTAGTCTTCCTGCTGCACGGCAGAACAAGATGAACAAACAAGGCAAGAACATCCTTTCACCTTGAAGTCACGTCTCAAGCATCAGAAGCATTAGCAAAGCACCTGTCACCACAGCAGTCGGGAAACCAATACGGTTCTAGCGCACAAAATCTCAGCCCTCAAGTGGCTTCAGTTCTGCTCTCAGTTATGCCCTTGCCACGTGCTGAACTGCAGAGTGAAGCCCTGCCGAGGGCACCGGCAGGGGAACCCCCTGCCGAGGGCACTGCAGTTGCACAGATATAGCTGACAGCAGAAAACTGTGCAATAGTGTCCGCGATATTCTTCCTTCCTTGCATCTGTTGTACCTGAGGAAGCCGATCCAGTGTTCTTCATCTACTGGAATGTACACCTGGTCTACGCTTTGCACCACTGCTCCGTCCTTGATCCACAACATCTCAGGATCTTCCGTTCCCTCGAGGCTGCAATTTAGTTTCACGGGTTGGCCCTGGGACACCTTTAATTTGATTGGAGATCCTGTAAATTTCATACCTAAAAGAAAAATACTACTCCGCCCCACCCCCAGAAGAAGGGGGGTTGGAGTACAGCAAATTACTCTAGGTTGGTAGTCTGGAATTATATACCCTACCAGCACACGCTGCGGAGGGGTCTGTTAGTCTCGGCACTGCTCTGCTACGTCTGCTAAGCAATTGTCAAAGGCAAGCACTGAAAGCACACTGGAGAAAAGCGGTGGGTCAGTGTATACATGGGGCTTCTTTCAACTCGTGTAACAGCAGGGTGAGCTTGTGCAGAGCAGAGCTGGACAGAAACACTGGGAGCTTCGCCGTGACGGTGATCCCGCAGCGCCAAGCGTGTTCACGCAACACGGTACCACACCTCCCTCTTTTCCCCAGGCTGGAATTTCAACTACGGGGCTCCTGCGCTGCTAAGAAATCACCGTGCTTGCTCCATTGTACGCATTTGCAAAGAGCCGGGATAGGAGAAAGACTCAATTACGTCTCATTATTCAGCGTACGCTGCTCCCCTGCGCTACAGAAAGCTCTGCAATTTGCAAAACCCATGAAAGCAAAGCCTACTCCGCAGCGCGCCTCGCCAAGGAGCTGAACTGCTCACAGAACAGATATTTCTGTCGCGTGATGTGGGTGTGCGCTCCAATGAGCCTCCCTGACCCTTCGGCCCAGCCAAAGGGCCACGTTGTACCCAGAGCTACAGAGCGGAGACCCCACAGCAGCAGGGCCAGAGTCAGTGGAGCTGCTCAGGTTGATGTTGGCACAGAAGCGATCAGAATTTGACCTGGAGCACTGCTACACGTGTGGGTGGACGGGGAGTGTTTCCCTCAAGCAGAAGTGAGTACATGAAATGTATTAGCATGAGAAAACACGGAAGCCAACTATGTAAGCGCATTTAAGAAAGAAAGGCATATAGAGGAGGAACGAGAGGATCAAAGGAGATGATGGGAAAGCAGGAAGGTGGGAAGTGGGAAATAAATGTAAAGGCAGTTTTGTTAGGGAGAGTGGCCATTTCCTATGCAGTGGCACAGGACTGACAGACCAGAACAGGTCCAGCCAAGTTCAATATTATGCCCTGGCAGTGGCTTCCACATCCTTCAGAAAAAAAGAAATGACTCCATCAGTCTTGCCCGGAAATGTACCACAGTACATAACAACTTCACCCAGTTCACTGCCTGGTCAGCTTCTCACTGGGTGCCTCACTAAGCCTTACGGAGCCCGACAGAAAAACACCAGTTGTGAAACCCAGAGCATGGCTAAAGCAAGCAGCCCTGTTGTTCTTGGACTCTGTTACAGCCTTAGCAGTGATCAAATACCAAGATTTCTCATGTGGCACTTCCCTTCCTGCCCAAACACCACCCTCCCACAGCCACGAGGCACCTCCTCACAGGGCAGAGGGACACACAGCACGGTTGTAACTGCTGGAAGAAGGGACACGAGCACTGTGGGACCAGCTCTGCCACTGGCAGCTGGTACCCGGGAATAACAATGTGCTCTGTAACTACTGGCAGAGTACCACTGGTCCAGGAGCAATCCCAGAACACAGGCAGAAGGCCCTTACTCCTTTCCTTAATGAGATCCCCCAATCTATTAACAGCCGATTTCCCCAAACTCAGTCTTTTGCCTTTCTACCTGCTGTTATTAATTTAGCAAATTCACAGAGAGCACTGGAAAGCTGGAAGATGATCATTTCAGTTTAGTTGGTACATCTCATTTGCTGGGTTAAGGATTTAATCACTTTGGGTGAGGATGATCTAACCTCACATTACTTAAGTCATTGGTAACAAGAATGACAGGTCCCAGTGCATGCCAGAAAGCATCCTCCCTTTCACCACTCACAATACTGGAATAAAACATGAAAGCTTCACAGCAGCTCTCTCTGTGTTAAAGAAAACTGATGTTGCCAGGCTGCTGAACACATGCACAACCTGACAGACACTTTCATTACAGGTGTCTTCATGGAAAAGAAAACTACTCAGCTCCCCTGAGATTGCCCTGCTGAAGGAGTTAGACACAAATTAAACAAAGAAGTGTTGTTAGAGACCCTTTATGCTTTTCAGTTCTCTCACAAATTAATAATGTAGGAAATTAACATAGAGTACAAGTATTCAGCCCGAGTTGTAATTCTCCACATCGCCCAAATATAATCCTTTTACAATATAAGATCAACCAAAATGAAGAAACACAGATTAGGGATATTTAATAAAGTCAAAGGTTTTCAACAAAAATTCACTTCTAGCTGCAGCATCTCTTCCTGCAGGTATCAGGAGGAAGCACATAGAATGCCAATATGGATTTTAATTTCCACCTATTCCTTCTTCTACTCTCCTACTCACGATTTCTCATCTGATAACATTCTTGCCAGAGCAATAAGCGCAAGTAAATAGGCTCCTCCAAGCCTACCTGTAGGAGTTAAAATGTATAGATAGGAAATATTTGTATTAAATTTCTTATCAAGCAGTTGTTAGACAGAACTGACAGCAAGCAAACATACTAGTTGTCAAATACCTGATACATCTGTTTGTTTAGTTTTTAAACATGCCATCTCCGAGTATAGATTCCTAGGAACAGAAGTACGCCTTTTGTGAAGTTATTCTAGGAGTGGAGAGTGAGAGGAAGATGCTCTCCAAGGGAGATGCACACCAAGGGAAAGGCTTTGCGCTTCCCAGGTGCGTCAGGACACTGATCTGGGGATGCAGCCCAACAGTCAGCAGCTTGGTACCCCCGCAGGTTCCCTGCGGAGCCCCAGCTCCCGGTGAAGCGGCAGGAGGCTCCCGCGCGCTGCCTCTCCCTGCCGAGTCGGGCGTGAAACTTCGGAAAAGGAGTTAAAGAGGGAAAAGCCAATAAAAGCCACTCAGGAATGCGCTAGCGCCCGGCTTTCCCCGGCGACGGTCCGCTCTGGGCAAATACCAGATTAATGCCTCCGCAAAGAACAAGGAGGATTATTTGGGCTGCGGCTCACTCCTCCGTACTTGCAGGCGG